AGTTCCATGTCCTTCTTATATTGGGGGCCCCAGAACTGGATGCAGTACTCCAGGTGAGGTCTCACAAGAGCAGAGTAGAGGGGAAGAATCACCTCCCTTGACCTGCTGGCCACGATATATTAAGTGTTTATATAAGAAATACATTAAGAGTATATAGTGTCACAAAAAGCACAGTACAGGGGCGCAGGGAGTCATTATTCATCTGCTTTCCAACACAATAAAGAGAGAACTTCAAATGAAACCAGCAGATACCTGGTGAAAAAGAAAAATGGGGGGAAAAAAACCAAAACCCAACCAAACCAGAGGAAACTTGTCCACATAACATGCTTCACCTATCACACCATCAACTTTTCAGTAACCATTGCTTTGGTTTCATTGCTTTGTGTTTCTCCTTTCTCTCTGTTTCTCCTTTCTCTCTGTTTCTCCTTTCTCTCTGTTTCTCCTTTCTCTCTGTTTCTCCTTTCTCTCTGTTTCTCCTTTCTCGCTGTTTCTCCTTTCTCTCTGTTTCTCCTTTCTCTCTGTTTCTCCTTTCTCTCTGTTTCTCCTTTCTCTCTGTTTCTCCTTTCTCTCTCTTTAATTTTTTTTAAAAAATTTAGCAGCTTTAGAAAATAACTTGCTCCCTGGGAGTAAATAAATTAAATTAAATTAAAAAATAATTTAAAATTTACTCCTGAGGAGCAAGTGGATTTCTACTGCTGCACCAGAGTTATGATTTTTAATTTTTTTCTTTTCAGACTATTACTGCTCTATATACACCATTACCCTACATATATGCCCACTACACTTGTACACACTACCCCATCCCTAATTATTCACTAATGAATACATAATTATACAAATAATTAATTATGCAAATTAGGTAAAATTTTTCTCCATCACAAACACCTTTCCACACAAATCTTCAATCAGATATTAAAATTATCACCACAATTAAGACAATTACATTACAATTTGGATTGGGATTAGAACTGGGATTGGGGTTAAGGTTAGGATTGAGATTGGGATTAGGATTGATGTTAGGATTGGGATTGACATTAGGATTAGGATTGAGGTTGGGGTAGGGGTTAGGGGCTAGGGATAAAAGCAACTGTGAAAAGTAATTTTTTTTTTTAAACTGGTTTGTACTGAAAGGTGTGGTAGGTGACTCAGGCAGAGTCATACAAGGCCAGCAATGAAACTTCTCCACCATACTTTCCACTACCAAAGCATCATTAATACTATAATAGAACAAACGTGTGGATGTGGAAGGACAACTATAAACACCCTTCCTTCTGTATTACACTTAGATCTATGCAATGTATTATGTACTGCTAAGGACACAAGGAAGGATAAATTTAAGCTATGACTATTTTTTGTCATTTCCAACCTAAGCCTTCAACATAAAGCCACTTTTAGGTGTCAAATTTGCACCGACAATTGCTCAAGCAGAAAAAGCAGTGCACTTTCAGTGAAGGCACAAATTAGGGATGAGGTAACATTAGTAAATTATATGGATAACCGACTGCAAGTGTGTCAACTGTGGTGCTCCCCTGTTCCTCACAAGACAAACATCTAGCAATTCTCCAGCTTTAGACAATCTTTGACCCATAAATTAGATATTTCTGGCTCTATTCTTCCACTGCTGATTTGAACCACACAACTTTAATTACATGAATTTAAAATGTAATTGGTAAGTTTGGTGCAGCTATCCAACAAACCCAAGGCCATGCTCACGTACTTATGTACAAGTAGCAGAACCAACGCAAGACACAGCTGAAATACAAGGACATCTATAAGCATCTCCACTTGCTCATCACACCTTCCCACAAGCTTTTGCACATTCTTTCAGAGAGATATTGCTATAGCTATAGTTAGATACAGATATATTCAGCTCTTTGTAGTATGTATCCCATTGTACAATCATTTTCTGGATTTCTAAAAAAAGTAAAGTTTATGCTGAGCAAAGCTTTACTCTAACTTGTTCCTACAATTAAGTTGTTTTACTCATTCTTAAGTTCAGCAGTTTGGTTTCTGGAAATACTGTAATTATCCTTTTGCCCTCACAAGGCAGAATGATAATATGTAGAAGGGTATACACACATCATGAGAAGTACAAAACATTAATGTCTTCACAAACATCACCAGAAGTCATGCTGCAGGACCACTTTATTTGCCTGAAAGATTTTCTAAGAACCTCAGAAATAACTAATACCAAAATTGCACAATAATACTTCAGAGGAATCATGAGAGTAACTCAGAGCAGGTGTAATGTGACTGTGGCCTCCTGAACAAAGTCTTGCTGCATATTGCACAAAGTGTTGCCTGGAAAATGCTAGAATCCCACATAATGAAGTGCTAAAATAATAAAATGCTTAAAAAAAGTCAAGCACTGCCATCAGTCATGCCTCAACTGTTCCTGCCTGCCTATGCATTTACAACTTATAACTGCCACTGAATAGATTTTTGTAGCTTAGCAAAGCATTTCTTCTTTCGCTTGAAACACTGCTTCTAAATTTGAAACCTTAAACTGAAAGCAGCATTGGTGTCTAGTGATTCAAAAGAAATCTAAAATGAATTCTGTACTTTCATGGCACTAAAATCCTTGAAAGCTGAAGCTTTTGAGGCCTTTGAATAGCATATACTGGAAGCATGAAAAGAAGGTAGGATTAATTCTGGTGGCATGCGGGAAGTCTGTGCTGAGCTTGCCATATACTGCTGCAAACCCAAAAGCACTTGAGTTCAGTGTACTCTTGTCTTGCAAAGTGCTAGTAGTGATCAGTTGTGTGAGCTTTCTAAACAATAGAAAGATGCATAGACTCTGAGATTTTGATGCAAAAAAGGCAGATTTCTAGAAAAGGCATATTAAAATATTGAAATTGTTGACCTTATTTGAAAATTAGGTGCAATACTCTTATTGACCCTAACAGAGATTTTTTTTCTAAATAATTAGAGTGCATTAAATAAATTATTTAGGATTTTTTTTTGTACTCCAGTCATGTGAATTCCTCCTTGTTTTGCACTGTATGTTGAGAACCTCTTCTATGTCCTCTTTAGGGATTTACTTAACTAACATTCTGAAAACAGAAGAAGGCAACCCTGAATTTCTAAAGAGACATGGGAAAGAACTTATAAACTTCAGCAAGAGAAGAAAGGTAGCTGAAATAACAGGAGAGATACAGCAGTACCAGAACCAGCCATATTGTTTAAGAGTAGAATTTGATGTCAGGGTAAGTGGTGTTATTTCCTTGAGTCCATGCACTGGGCTACTTTTGTGGTGGCTGTCATCTGATCAGCCATAAGGATAGACTGAGTTGGCATAAATTTAATCAGACTGAATCAGAGACAAGCAGAAGGCTTGTCATAAAATCTCTCTCAGGTCTCACCATAAGAAAGGGCAGAAAGCTCAATGCTTGCAGTTTGATGGAGTTTTTTGGGGTTTGTTTGATTTGGTGGTTGTTTTTTTTTCTCTCCAGGTATTGGGGTGTTGATAGATAGATCTTCTTACTGATCAGTGTTAAACAAGAACAGAAACTACCAGATTCTCACTCTCCTTCACTCAGTTGCATTTATTTGTCCAGTGAGCCCAGCTGTCTTTTTCTTTCTGTTACACTCCCTTGATGTTTCCAGGTTTACCTCATAGCACTGCATTTACATCATGTGCTGACAGTGATGATGCTCACATTTTCTTTCTCCTGATGTTTGTTATCCTTGGGCTGTGGTGCTCTCTAAGCAGTCCTGTCTCTGCTTGCTTTCTTCCTTCTTTTTTAATATATTTTGAGCTATCTACTTTCAGAGAGTCATAGAACAGGTTATCTTAAGAGCTTCTTCAAAATTTTCTGTTATTACTTGTTCTTATCAGGGTTTGACAGAATGGACTGTGAGAGCAATCTTCTCTGCATCAGTGTAAAAATAGACTACATACAGCTTCTTCTGAAGGTGTTTGAGCTAACCTGGTCTGATTTTTGCACTGCGAAAAATATTTAGGATACTTGCACAGTTGGTTTTCAGGCCAAGCATAGCAGTAGCAATGCCCAGCAAAGGGCTGACAACATTACTTAAAAATCTATCATTACTTCTGACTCCAGCATTTTCTGTCTTCTCCAGAACAGTTGGGATCATTTGTGCAGTAGAAACAAACAGTACTAAGCTACTAACTGACAGATTTTCTACCCTCTTGTATTTCAGAGATTTTTTGAAAACCTGAATCCAATGGGAAACAGCACAGAGACAGAATTTACAGATTATCTGTTCAACAAGTCACTAGAGATAGAGCCACGAAATGTCAAGCCTCCACCAAGATTTGTTAGTATTCAATTTTTAATTTTTTTTTAATACTTACATTTATCTTTCACAAATAGCAGAAGTAATTTTAGATCTCTAACTTCATAAATACAAAGCTACATTTAGGTGATCTTGTGGCCTTTTGATTTTCTTTTCAATTCTTTTTTTGTCATTTCAGCCCAAAAAATACAGCTATCCTCTCAAGTCCCCAGGTGTTCGTCCCTCTAATCCAAGGCCAGGTACCATGAGACATCCTACACCCCTGCAACAGGAGCCAAGGAAAATTAGTTACAGCCGCATCCCAGAGAGTGAGACTGAAACTACAGCGTCTGCACCAAACTCTCCCCGAACACCTTTGACCCCACCCCCTGCTTCTGCTACTTCAAGTACTACAGATGCCTGCAGTGTGTTTGACTCGGATCCTTCAAGTCCTTTTCATGCAAGTAGGTGCTAATACAGAGTCTACCAAGAATGTGTGTGTTAGATTTTGTGGTGTTAAGCAGGTAAAATCATGCTTCGTCTTCTAAAGTGACTATAGAAACGATTGCTGTTGTCTCCTTGTGGCAGCAAAAACTTTCAGTGTATTTTATTCCTTTTTAAAAAATATCTTCTTATTGTAGAGGGGGAAACCAAACAGAATTAGGTATGTTAGATAGAGAGTATTACATGTCTTTGGAGAAACTGTCAAAACAGAAGGCAGAGATATATCTCTAGTGCCCATATATGTCCCAGACAAACATTTCTTGGATTTGCTGACATGTATATGGTGAATGTATTTGGTGAGTATCTGTTTGATGGTGAACAATGACAATGAAAAGGAATGTTTTCTGAGTGCTTTATTCTGCTGTCTGCCATTCCAAATTGGTGTCAGTGCACATGAATGGTTTTACTGCAGAACTTAAAAACGGTATTTTCCCACTTTAAATTGATCAGGACCCATCCATACATATTTTTCTTCTTTCTTCACCAACATAAAAGGAAGCTCATGTTTTATGATATGCTTTGAGTAATTTATAGTGGACATAGCCTCCTTCCACATATGAGGTCTTTCAAAGGAAGTACAAGGTTAGTCCTGTGCTGAGCTGGTTGCCACAAGGAGGTGAAATGACTTGCCAAAAGCAGCAGTTGCTTAGCAGAGCAGTGACATTGCTGAGTGTCCAAGCCAGGTCTCTGGAATACCTCTTCAGAAGAAGATATTTCTTCATTGTTGGCTTGGCCCATTGACTGCAGGTTTGGGATATTGGTTTAGTGCTATTGTCATACAGGAACAACTTTGTGGTGTGGTTATAGTCTCAAGGATTACTAAAGAATGTGCAGGAGCTGATGACCACAGAGGTGATTGCAGCCCAGAAAAGCAGTTTGTCGGAAGCTGCAAGTTAGAGGGTTGTTTTGTTGTCTTTCTTTAACACCTTCTTGATTCATGCTGCTTTTTATGAGCAATTGCTTTATTATTTATGACACTGTTATTGGCAGCAATAAAGGAAGTATACAGAGTCAAACAAAAGTTCATAATTATCAGGACCTTTTCTGTGTGTGCTAGGATCTGCTTCGGTGTCGTCCATAAACTTTACCAAAAATTCAGATGAAGCTCACGTCCCGCCTCCAGTTCCTCCACGAAGGAGACCAGAGTCTGCCCCAGCTGAATCCTCCCCATCAAAAGTAAGTAAGGAGAAAAAAGGATGGGTTTTTTTTGGGGAGCAGAGGGCAGAGTATGATAGAAGATTAACTCATAAAGATGGTACATGTATTTTAGAAGAACTGTATCAGAAAAAATAAGCAGCCGTGTATTTTAAGCCTTCACAGCTTTGCCTTGTTATGTTTTCATCTATGATAACTGTCCCACAGTATCATTTTGGGGTAAAGAACTGCAGAATAGTAATGATGGAAAGTGATGCACACACCTCAGTCCTCTGAAAATGTTCATTAGAATATTTGACCGTGATGCTGTGATGCTCAGTGCTTTCTTTCCCTTCTTGATTATCCACCCTGTCTGCCTGCCTGCTTGAGTCACTGCTACATTTTCCTTTTGCATTTGTCTGGCACTTGGGATCTGATCCAGCCTTTGTTGCAGACAGTGTCAAATGTCTCTTGATTTCAGTGGGAGCTGGTTTGCGAGTTCAGAGAATTGGGTGGATTTGAAAATCCCACTCAAAATTACTTTGGAGCATGTATATCTTTGAAGAGGGCTTGTATGTGGCTCTTCTGCAAATTGTTGTTTTCAGACTACAGGTGACTATGTTGTCAGCCAGTAGGGTTTACCACACCACATTCCTACCACAATGTGATTGAAAACATCATATACATGATAGGGTGTTGGAGACCAATTACCTTGTCAGTGTGGTCTGCAGCTTGGGAACTGTTCAATAATTCTGACCACTTTATTCCATCTTCTGAGCGTAGGTGGTTTTTTTTTCCCCTGTTCAGCTTCATCTGCCTCTCCCTTTTCCTTATTTTGTTGGAGAAATGTCTGGTATTATTACCCACTCCAAGTGCTTGTTACTGGAGAGGTGGTGGAAGATCCAGACCTACCTAGCAAACAGACCTGGAAATAGCATGGAAATTGTTGCTTTGACTATTCTTTGCCTTGCAATTTGTCTCTCTATGCATCTTCATCCCTTCCATCCTTGGCCATAGACTTACATATTGATATATCCCTGCTCTTTTCCTGCACATCCAGTCTCTGCCATTTCTGACTGCATCATGCTGAGAAATGTGTTTTTCAGGCATCATCGCTCCCTTTTGCTTCTGTACTCCCTATCTTCATTTTGTACCTGCTTGCTCTGCCTCCTCTCTAACTGGGTAAGAGTAATCGGTGGGGCAGGAGCTGTGCTGCCATTTCACAGCAGGGTCCTGTTCTTTACTGCCACTCCAAAATTTTATTGAATGTAATGTTTGTGTACCTCAGATTACTTCTGCGCACCTGGACAGCCCACCAGCAATCCCTCCTAGGCAACCGACCTCTAAAGTCTATTCACCAAGGTACTCAGTGCCTGACCGGACCTGCATCTCTGACCCCCCCGAAAGCCCTCCTGTGTTACCACCACGAGAACCTGTGCGAACTCCAGATGTTTTCTCTAGCTCACCACTACACCTCCAACCTCCACCACTGGGAAGAAGAAGCGAACTTGGTAACACCTTTTTCCCAAACAGCCCGTCTCCCTTTACTCCCCTTCCCCCTCAGACACCTTCTCCACATGTAGCACGGAGGCATCTTCCATCACCACCTTTGATACCACAAGATGTGGACCTCCATTCTGTTGCTGGACCACCTGTTCCTCCACGACAAAGCACTTCTCAACATATCCCAAAGCTTCCTCCAAAAACCTACAAAAGGGAGCACACACACCCATCGATGCATCGAGACGGACCACCGTTGCTGGAGAATGCCCATTCCTCCTGAACTATCCCTTGCGCTGGGAGTCACCTTTTCCTGGTGCTACGTCTGTTGCTGGCAATGGATGCACTGAACCTGGTGGTGCCAAGGAGTTGGGATGTGTATGCCAAACACTAAAAACTCTCCGATACTTTGGAAATACAATGTACAGAAATGGAATTTCAAAAACAGACATTGTAGTAGAAAATCCGGTTAACTTGCTATTCTTGTTGTAGTATGCAGGACATTGTTAATTGAACAGCTAATTGTACCAGAAAACAGACTTGAGGGACTTCTTTGGCCAATGAGCAGAGACTGTGTTTGTGTAATGATCAATAGTCAAATACAGGAAGGAAAGCAGTCTTGTATCCATCAGTTCCATACAGTGGCACAGTTCTTGGAATGAAAACATTATGCACTTTTTTAAAATCTCAAACAGGGAACCTTATATCCTTCTTAATTTTTGTTTGCTTTACTCCCTGCTTTAAAATACCTTCCTAAAATTCTGAGAAGGACTGTGAGGAAGATCTGTGGTACCTAACTGAGCTAGAATTAAGACAAAGCACTGTATTGCGATCCTGTTTACAAGTTGTTACGATGAATAGTAGGGGGTACCTAGGCTTCACCAAAGAGGTACTTTATTATTGTCTGAAATATTGTGGTGCCAGTTCAAAAATAAATTTTTGCCAGGAAGCATAATGTCTAATTATTGCTTTCTTTAGATACGACAGATGAAAGTCTTGCATCACTACGTTAACAGCAAATTTTTTTTAAAAGCAGCACTATCATCCGAAGTAAATATACTGCTAATCTCTGCTAGGATATGTCACGTTCTTTTTTTAAGGTTTACTGATAATCCATTTCATGGCTTGTAGCTCTTCTTTTTCAGTCATGCCGTGAAAACAGTCACTTGTGAAAAGGAGCACTCACTGGTCGATTTACATAGCTGTTGTCATGTTTTACTAACAATAGAGTAATCAGCAGATGTAGAATTGCCTTGCAGTTGCATAAATCGTGTATATAGTGAAGGTTGCATAAATATACTTGCAGATTGTTTTTAATTTAATGGAAATAAAGATACAGATATGTTTGGCTGACATACATTAAATTATTACACGGACAAATGTACAACTGAGTTTTCCAGTTAAGCACTGAAGAGGATAAAAGCACATGTCGTGGTACATATTTTTCCTAGTTCAGTGTGTATATTTTTGTAATGTATGTATTTTAGTAAGAGTCTAATGAGAAGTCAGTTTTGGCATGTGTTACAAAGTAATAATTCAGTAATATTTGAGAAGCTGGGTCACTCCCAAAGTGAATTATTATATGTTATAAAACTTATGACACTTGTTAGAAAAATTCAAACATATATGAATCTTTGCAGTAGCTTTCGGTGCCCAGAATACACATGACAGAACATGTAAGTATCATGACATGGATTATCCATAAACCTGTGTACTGCTCTCGAACTCTAGACAATACTGTGACAGTAATGCATGGCAGTTACTGAAGACAAGAAGCTCTATAATCTCCACTACAGCATGTACGTGAAGTGTGAAGTATCTCATTTTCAGTTAATATGGCTCATAGGTCAAAGTAAAATTCTATCAGGTTTCCTTTTTGGAAGAAGAATACGTTTCAGCATCTTGGAAAGCTGTATAATTGGAGATGGTGTTAGTCGAATGATGATGGAAATCACCTTTTTTAATGCTTTCTGCAATGCCATTAATTAGTGTCTCTTGATCCATTAGTGTGGTAATTACATTTCAGAAAGTGTTCTGATCTCATCAACAAGAATTGCAGTTTTCATCATAGTCAAATGTTGAAATCTGTCAGTTGTATTCCTTCGTTGATGTCTTCAGCGCTGTTTTGAAACGTGAAGATCTCTAAACCTTGGTTTCAGAGAACATTATATGGGAGCATTGTAAAAATCCTTGAGCTAAAGGAGGCGTAGTTTGGGTTATCATCTTTAGATATAAACACCATGATGGGCATACTGTTGACAATGTCATCTAAATTATTGGCTCATCAGTGGATTATCACGGAAAACTCCTTAAATTTAGACTTCTTGATATGTATCTCTTCTGTACACTCCTGTCTGTGCTATTTCTCAGCCAAGGCAGACCAGGCAGAAGGAATCATCTAGTAGTTAGGTTGCTTAGCTAGAAGGAGAGACCTCACATGGCTCCTGCTAATCAGCATGAATGTTGGTCGGTCTCCGTTTCTCTTTGTGAAATGGGGAATGCCGTTTTGCATCTTTGTGGTTGAGGTCAAAAGTCCTTTACTGAGGAGGTACTCTAACAGCAGGTGATAATGGTTACCATGCAAGAACCTAACTCAAAGGTGCTTTGGAGCCCAGCAGAAAGGATCAGTCATACAGTGCTCAAGTTGTGGTGCTGACTCAGCTGCAAACAGAAAAGACAGGGTGAGAATCAAGCGTGTTGCCTATAGAACAGGAGTTTTGAGTACAGCTGCTAAGCCACTGGTTTATCTAATGACAGCTTTATTTGTGTTAATAATTATTTGATCTGGAATGACTTCACATTTGGACCATGTTGGCATTAGTGACAATACTCTTCACACAGAAAGTGAAATCATTTTAATGATGCATCTGTCTGCTTGGTAAAATGACACTGGATGGTCTGGTGTGGCCTGGAATAATGATGTGGCCTGTTCAATGAAACATGCTTATGAGGACGCTAGGTGAGTTCCTATATTACTCTAGAGTGCTGATGTGTGGCTAAAAGCCAGTGTAAACAACTGCAGGCTGTGTAAGCAGGGTTATAAAGGTCAGCAGAACTTCATAGGTGTGGTACTTCACAGTTTGTACTGTTTCATCTCAACGTTTCTACTTTTATGTATAGCCTAGTGCAATAGTGGAACATAACCTGTGTTTGTTCATTTTCTTCCAGAGCATCATGGTTGTGTGTTAGCTTGGAAAAACCCTCTGGTAATTTGGAAGTGCTAGGATTCCAAGTGCAAGGTACTGCACCTGGGTCAAGGCAAGCCCTGGTATCAATACAGGCTGAGGGATGATGTGATTGAGAGCAGCCCTGCAAAAAAGGACTTGGGGATGCTGGTGGATGGAAAACGACGTGAGCCAGCAGTGTGTGCTCACAGCCCAGAAGGCCAACCGCATTCTGGGCTGCATCAAAAGAAGTGTGGCCAGCAGATTGAGGGAGGTGATTCTGTCCCTCTACTCTGCTCTCGTGAGACCCCCCACCAGGAGTATTGTGTCCAGTTTTGGGGCCACCAACTGAATGATGTGGACCTGTTGGAGCGGGTCCAGAGTAGGGTCACAAAAATGATCAGAGGGCTGGAGCACCTCTCCTATGAGGACAGGCTGAGACATTTGGGGCTGTTCAGCCTGGAGAAGAGAAGGCTCCAGGGAGACCTTATTGCAACCTTTTAATACTTAAAAGGGGGCCTGTAAGAAAGATGGGGACAAACTTTTTAGTAGGTCTTGTTGTGACAGGACAAGGGGTAATGATTTTAAACTGAAAGAGGGTAGATTTAGACTAGATATAAGGAAGGAAGCCTTTTGCAGTGAGAGTGGTGAAACACTGAAACAGGTTGCCCAGATTGGTGGTGGAGGCCCCATACCTGGAAACATTCAAGGTCAGGTTGGATGGGGCTCTGAACAACCTTATCTAGTTGAAGATGTCCCTCCTCATTGCAGGGGGGATGCACTGGACGACCTTTAAATGTCCTTTCCAGCCCAAACTGTTTTATGATTCTGTGATTCTGCAAGTGCCATGCATTTACTTCTGTTCAGCATTTTGCAGGCTGTATGGCAAGTTGGCTATGGTGCTGCTTGGTGACCCCTAGGTACGTGCTGTTGTCATGGCATTCACCTGCCCAGGCAGAGTTTTTCTGTAGCTGTCTGCTAACAGAGAAATTGTCCTGCTTCAGGATTGATACCATGGAAAGGTTTGAGTGCTCCATCCTCAAGAAGCCATCTCCAGAGTGGGCTAACCTGTTTCCCTAATATGTCCCTCTCTTAAATTGGGGAGGGAGAGGTCTGTCTCAGTAAGAGTATGTTTATACTAATGCAGTGGATTTGGCTCCTTCAAAATTTAGATTGATACCATGGGATGTTTAATTATTTTCCTTTCACATAGCTCTTAAATTGGACTTTCTGTTGAATTGGGTCTGATCGAAGCTCGGTTTTGTCACTGGAGGTACCTGTATGGAAGGGAGCAGATTATTGTGCTTCAGGGAGAGGGTTTTATTTTGTTCCATACAGGGAAGTTTCTTTTCAGCCTGAATAGTTGCTGGAGCAAATGTGCATTGCAGCAGGCTGTGTGGTGACCCCAGTGCATTATAATAAGCCTCAGTTCCCTTCTTTGTGGCTGTTGTCTCAACCTTTTGTGGCATTGTACAGAGGCAGCCCTATTGCTGGTATTTCTAGCGTTGCTGCAATTTAAGCTCAGCTACAAAGAGCCCCTCAGTCATGAATGTTAGTCTTACAAATTATATAAAAGTTAAACAGTATGTTTCTTAATGCTTTGCTGCTGTGAGCAGTGCAGTTAGCTGCAGTATGTGAAAGTCTCTCCTTGACTTCCTTCTTGCTGCCTTTTCCAGCCAGCAAAGAGAGATTTGTTCAAAAATACTGTTTTAAGATGATATTAAAAAGTTGGGAAGTTCTTATGGGTTGTTCTTCCACCTCAGAATAGCCTTTTTTAGTTGTTGAATTGTCATTTCAAAACCTCGATGATGCGTGGACTGAAGCCTTTTTAGCTCTTCTTCCAGGAGAGAAACATGTTGCCCAATATAGTTGTAAAAACAAAAGCACTTTTAACTCACTTGGTAAATGCCATGCCTTATTTTCCATTTTAAAAAATACCTTTAAGTGCATTTTTTTTTTTGTCAACTGAGCAAATTTCTCTTTTGCCTTCAGTGGAAAATAGTGCATTACATAGCCAACTGCTGCAGCATTATAAGGCAAACAAAGTAAAGAGTAAGTAATTTTTTTCCCTTTCTAGCTGGCAAATGTGAAATGGCTGAAAAGTTGAAAGGAAAAAATTAAAATAAAATAAAAACAAAACCCATGGCATATACATGACAATTTTAGCAGCTGCCAAATGTGCCTTTTATCAAAGAACATCTAATATTTTTTAAAAGAAGGGTAGAAAAAAGTAGATGATTGGGGTGCATGTTGCTTTGGACAAATTTGTTTGAATCTATTTCAGAATAAGCCTTTTTTTGTTTGTGAAAAGAACAAACTTCAGGTTCCAGTAAGTTTGTTCCAGTATGTGAGTACATTTGCCTTTGTTTGATGGCGTGGTTACCTGCCAAAATGAGTGAATATTAAAAGCTGTGTCAGTCCAGTCATGAAAAGAAAAGAAAAACAAACAAAAACCCAAATTTAAAAAAAAATAAAAGCGAGAGAAGTGTTAAACTTCAGCTGGCACATCTGATGAGCTG